TTTGTAGAGTGTTACTTACAAAGCCAATTCTTTCCTTTCTATGAACATAACCCTTATTAGCAAGGATCATGTTTAGAGATTTATTTTCTATTTTAAAATTTTCTAACATTTCTTGTAATAAAGTTTTTTTTTTTCTTAAGTGAATATATCTCATCACACTTAGTGCAAGAAGCTAGCATACTATCATCATGCTATTTTTTAATTTATCAAATTCACTAACAAGAGAAGCATGCTCCTTTTTTTAACAACTTATATTTTTTACCAACTAACTTACATTCATCGTATAGATCATTGAAAGCGATAAATAAATCATCATAAACTAAATGAGATTTGATTGAGTCACTTACCTTGTCATTGAGCACGCGTAGTTAGAAACTTCTTCTTTGTTGGTTGGCTTATCGTCTTCAGATGCACTTGAATCATCCCAAGTTGCTTTAAGCGCCTTCTTTTTATTTGATTACTTCTTCTTCTTCTTCACTTAGAGACATTCATTTTTGAAGTGCACTTGCTTCTTGCATTCATAGCAAATTACTTGGTCCTTTTTTAGTTCACTTTTGTTCTTAATGTCTTGTTTTGTTTGTTTATTTTTAAGAATTTTTTAAACTTTATTGTAAGAAGTGTCAAGTCATCATTATTATCATCATCATCACTTGAGTTTTCACCCAAGTGGCTTTCTTTGGTTCTAAGTATCATATCTTTACTGTTCTTTCGAAGGTTGTTCTCAAGTTCATCATGTGCTATACATGTCATTTCATAGGTCATCAAGGACCCGATAAGTTCTTCAAGCAAAAAGTTATTAAGATCTTTTACTTCTTGTCTTGTCATTATTTTAGGATCTTAACTTTTTGGAAGAGATCTTAATATCTTATTAACATGTTCAAAATTAGAAAAACTTTTACCAAGTGCTTTTAGACCATTGATGACAATCGTAAAACGGGTGTATATATCTCAAATAGTCTCGCTTGGTTTCATACGAAACAACTCATAGTTATAAACCAAAAGATTAATTTTTAACTCTTTAACCCTACTTGTGCGTTCGTGTGTGACTTCAAGTGTGTGCTAAATCTCATGTACAGTTTCGCATATTGAACCCGATTAAATTCGTTCCTATCAAGAGCATAAAATAAAGTGTTCATCACTTTAACATTCAAAGAGAAAGTTTTCTTTTCCAAATCATTCTATTCGTTCATTGGTTTGGACAACTTCTCAAAACCACTTTCAATAATGTTTCACAAATCGAAATCCATAGAAAGTAAGAAGATTTTCATTTTAGTTTTTCAATACGTGTAGTTCGTTCCATTGAACATAGGAGGATAAGTGATAGAAAGACTCTCTTAGTTGCCAACAAAAGTTGCCAGCAAAAGCCATCTCTCATGGATATTAAACCAAAAGGAGATAAACCTCGCTTTGATACCAATTGTTAAGATCGAGTCAGCACTAAGAGGGGGTGGGGTGGGGGGGGGTGTGGGGAGTGAATTAGTGCTTATGATAAAAATTTCATCGATTCAGAAACTTCAACGATTTTAAAAAGTTTGATTCGATGAAACCCGTATCAGAATTGATAAGAGCAAAAGAGAGTGCACATTAAATTTATAGTGGTTCGATCGTCATGACCTACATCCACTCCCGATTCCTCCTCCGTTGAGGCCATCAGCATCCACTAACGATCTTCTTTCAATGGGCGAAGACCAATCATTCTCTTACAATGCTTTCTCCTTTTACGAGTTTAGGAGACAACCCTTATAAGCCTCACACCTCTTCTTGAATAATTATAAAACTAGAAAGGGAGAAGGATGACACTTAGCAATTTTACAACTCAAAATCTAAAGATATTTGTTCACACTTTCATTCTCTTTTATGCAGAAAAGAGTGAGTATTTATAGGCTCCAATAACGTCAGAAATAGAGCCAAAAAGTATCTCATCATGGGTTTCTGGGGTACTAGTGATACCACTATCATTATTGGATGGTACCATCGCCTGCAGACTAACACTATGTGGTATCACCGCCTAGTCTGGACAGTACGACCGCTTGACAGAGCATCGGAGATCGGGCTTTAGCAGTACCACCGCCTGACAGCATTAACTATCGACGGTACTGCCATATGCCTTGAGCAGTTCCACCGCCTAGTCTGGGTGGTGCCACCGCCTAACGTGACTCTAAGTGGTTGAATGGGCCATCCAACCGGCCTAATTCAGTCCTGTTAAAGGCCCAGTTGGTCTCTAATTGAGTTAGTAGGATTTTTCCAAAATTAACTTGAATTGAAACTCTAACTACGACAATTAAGGTTAGACAATTACAATGTAAGTAATCTTAGTTGTTTGACGCGTCAATTGTTCATCCGAACTCTCGGTGAACTCCCACGATCTTCCAGCGAACTTTCAGCGAACTCTTGGCAAACTTCCGATGAACTTTCAACGAACTCCTGGTGAGATTTCACTATATCGTCCGATCCTTCAATCTATCTCCTAATTCATTCAGCCCGATGCCTGATCATTGACTTCAGCTAACTTCGATTCTTCTTTAGTCATATTGCCTTTCTCATGATTGTAGTTAAACCTACATTACTTATCTCAACATATATATTAGATTATTAATTCACCAATTGATTTCATTATCATAATCCGATATTCAACATATCTCTCCTACCTATTTGCGCAACCTCCCCATCAAGTTAATAGTCATGGATAAAGAAGGGAGAGGTGATAGAGTGGTGGCAACTACATCATTATTATATTTACCTATGTCCTTGCCTTCTCATTTGTCCATGTTTCCACACCCTCACCCTAATCATTGTCGTTGTCGTTAATTGGGACTACAACATCTTCAACATCGATTTTATTCCCATCTCCTTCGACCTCCATAACATAACCCTACATCATATTCGCCTCGCCATCTCTTGCCTCATTTGCACCTTCTCCAACCGTGTCATATAGAGCAAAGATCAAATATAAAGTTGGTATCAAGATTACTCACCTCGTTGACTTCTAGATATAACATGATACTTTATACGAGATCGAGGAGGCCATGAACGAGGACGATAACGAGGATATAGGAAAAGAGGAGGAGAGACAAGGGTGATCATGAAAGAGAGAAGAGAGGCTAGGATGACAGGATAGAGACGTTGGGTGAAGGTGAGAGCCGACAATGGATAATTTTTATTTTTTTAAATAAAAAAAGATGCTCTACACAAGTAAATGAAAAAAGATGCACTAATCGGTCAAAGTGAAAACAATAGATTTTATTTTGGAGAATTTATCTTATAACAATATTTTTTTATATTTTAAAAATAATATTTTTACCCTTATTATATTTTAATATAGCATATATACCGTTACATATCTACCTCTCAGTCAAACTTAGACCATCACTTGTAGCATATTCAAAGCATATATATTAAACTCAAATTTAAGAGGTTAAATACGAAAACTAGTGTTTGTAAAATTTTTCCTTTCACAATCTTTCAATGTTTATTATTATTTTAAAAGTGTCATTTACCAACAAAACAAGGAGATCCATCAAAATCGAGTCAACCACTTTGATTTTCTTCTCGGAATACATAATTAGTACAAAATTATGCATGTTAGATTAAGTATTAACTAAGATAGATAAAGATAGAGCATGTGTGTTGGATCTCTACTCAAGTTTTCTACCATAAAAGGAAATTAATTATTTACTTTATATTTTTTTTAAAATAAAATTAATTATTTACTATAATTATTGTAAACATCCTCTTATATATATATATATATATATATAATATTAATTTAATGGTGAGATACTACATCTATTTACTAAGGTTGAGGGTTTGAATATATATTTTGGATTTGAATCATGTCTTCATCACTTTATTTTTTTTTTGAAAAAAATATATCTTCTCCTATTCATCAATTAATAAAAAATAAAAAAAATCCTCTCATATAAGAGAGAGACTAACATCAAAGATTGAGAGGTTTAAAATTAATTACATATTCATCAACTTCACAAAATTAATTATTTCACTCTAAACATATGCATAATGAAGTAGACATCAAAATAAAAATATTTTTAATTACATTCAGGATATTAGACGGACTCCTTTGCAAAAGAATTTGAATCACGGTTTCAGAATCCTCCGATTCAACTCGTAACTCATAATTCCTTTATGCAAAATAGCTTGTAGTTGACCCTTAATATTATCACATGTTACATAGTGCATAATACGATCTTGTCTGAATTGATAAGCTTACTTGATAAATAGAATCTCATTTCTTTTAGGTTTTCTATCAGAGGCTGTAGAGATAATATTCATTTGGCAACTTTTCCAGATTAATGGTCAAATAATTATCTGCTCTATCTTTATCACTCTCTGTTAAAAAATAGTCTCTTTGCATGAGATGTCTAAGAGCCCAATTACCATACCAAATATTAAATTCCCATTGACAGTAAATTTAGAGAGAAACAACTTCATTTATGATAATATTTTGTCTAACAAAATGATTGACATATGATGGTTCGAATAATAAATCTTTCTAAACACATAATTATACTCTACTCAAAACGGGATGGAATAATAAAGCCTAATTCATGATCAAATTAGCCAAAAAAATCTGAGGTATATGATAAGATCCTTCATTTTCAGATTAGCCAAAATGAATACTTGAAGAATGAAGAGGAAATGTATTCATCTATATACAGAGTTTATGTTAATATTTTTATCTAACAAAATAACGATTGATTGGGTTTCAAATAATATCCTTAATTTAATAATTATCAAAGTAGCCAAAAATTAACTTACTCAAAGGGCCCAACCGGGTTTGAACCGGTGACCATTCGATCTGCAGTCGAATGCTCTACCACTGAGCTATAGACCCTTGACGTCAAATTTACTCTCATTTCTCTTTTATATTTATTCTATAGAATTGGTAACGGGTAATCTTATCCTAGGCGGGCTAGAACATCCGATCTCATCATTCCGACGGCTGAGGAACGATCGAGAGGGGCGACTGGGTGATCCGAGGCGGAGCTTCGGATTCGGGTCGGCGTCCGGGCACGAGGCGCCATCCATGTGTGACCGAGGCAGTGACTCGCACGGAGCCGAAAGAAAACCCTCCCAAAACCTCTCTGTAAGCCGCAGCCGCAGCCCCAGCCCGAAACCCTTCCCTTTCTCTAACGCGCGCACACAAGCAGAAGGGTAGCAGAACGGGGTCGGCTCCTTTGCTTTCTCCGCGATGGGATCCTCTGTAAGCCACGCCGCCGCGCCGCCACCGCCTCTGCCTTCGCCTTCGCCGCCTCCTTCCTCAGTCGGCCTCGCGGCGGCGCTACCACCGAAGCAGGATGAGAAGGCCGAGCCGGAGAAAGTCGACTGGCTGAATCTCCCCTGCCCCATTCCCTTTGAGGAGATCCAACGAGAGGCATTGAGTGAGTCTCCTGACCAATCTTTGTCGCTTCGCCTTCTGATTTGGCTTTTTTGTTGCCATTGTTGTTGGTAGCTGAAAAATTCTCAGTTACCTGTTTAATTGAAAGTGTAATGCTAACGGATAAAGCATAGGTGTTTTGGTTGTCACTGCTGCGATGTTTATGGATGTCTGAGTTTCGGCATATTAGTGCACGGAGTGATTTCGGGATCTTAAGCCGAAGAGTAGATCTTGGAGCTTCCTTTTGCCCTCTTGTAGATGGATGGGTTAGTCCTTATCAATTCTTGCGTCGGCACACATGGTTGTTTTGAAAACATTAACTCTGTGTCTAACATGCACCTGCAGGACGTTGATCCTGATCCCAAATTTCGAATGGGAAATGTCAAAGGCGCATCTTTGCTGTCGAATCTTAACATACCTTGAAAATATTAACCTTGAGGTTGTTTGTTGAAAAAGAATTATGATTATTGTGAAATGAGATCATATGACCAATAAGAAGTTGATAAATGTGATTATGTTATAAACTTACGAATGACAGAAGGACACCGTATAGGCCACTATGAATGAATACCTATTAAAATTGTTGGCTGTTGAAACTATTACATTTTTAGAGAAAGAATTCTTGCTGAAAAATAAAACTAACTTTTTCTCAGAAAAAAAGAATAATTTGTTTGTCATTTAAACTGGTGAAAACATAGTCTCTTACTAACACATACAATGTCAAGATTGGTTGAGTTCATATTAAGGTTGAAGCCATAACATGAAGAAGCACATTAAAGGAGCATGAGAGGGGGTCAACAGAAAATTCATAAAGCTAGGTCATTACACTTGGTTCTACCTATGACTACAATTTAGTACTCATAGTATAAAGAACCATATACTTATATTTCTTCTACTTCCAATAGAAGAGACTGATTCTAATACAAATAAAGGAAATGTGAAAACAAAAATGATTCTATGTGGGGATTCTTTTTGCTAATTCAAGTTCTAAATATCCTTTCTATGCGTCATATAGTGTCCTTGAAGCCCGAGCTTTTTGAGGGATTGAGGTTTGACTTCACAAAAGGGCTAAATCAGAGATTTTCACTGAGCCACAGGTAGTTTAATTAATATTTGATTATCTTGTTGATGTTATCTTCGTGATTCTTAACTTGAAGACTCTCCTACAGTGTTTTCATGGGATCCATGGAGGTTCCATCACAGTCTTCTGACACGTTGAAGGTTCCTACTGCACATTATGAATTTGGTGCCAACTTTCTTGATCCAAAGGTTTGCATTCTGTAATTATTCATTTTCTTTCATAGTGTTTTTTTTCATCCAGTTGTGTTTCTTAATGAACATCTACATTGCAATTATATAGTTGATGCTTGTTGGAAGGGTACTGACTGATGGAAGACTAAATGCACGAGTAAAATGTGATCTGACTGATAACCTCACTATGAAGATAAATGCTCAGGTGCTTGATTGTTCTCTATTATTCAGAGAAGAACCAATTTTTTTCTTCTATTGTCATCCTTATTGATTGTTCACTATATATCTGATATGTTTTTCAGCTCACGAATGAACCACATTTCTCCCAAGGAATGTTTAACTTTGATTATAAGGTTAGTCTTTCAAACAAAAAAAAGACTCATTGGTTCTGTTCTTCTAGCAGTTCAGTTATTCCATTTAATATAAAATTTCTCCTTGTTGCACATTCTCCCTATTGCACTAATATAATGTTCAAAACTTTTTCATTTGTTGATTGGCCAATAATATTTACAGCAATAGATTCTTAGACTGTAATACCTTAATCCTAAATCCACTCATACCATACATAGGATGTCACCTTTCCATTTGCTTAAGCTATCAACATCATAGCGGAAAAGTGGGCAAGTTTGAAACATTTCACTTGCCAAGCAGGACGACATGGTTCTCCCTGTATACATTGGTGTTTGACAGCTGTACATATGTTATAAACATATAAAACTCAAGCATCACACATGCATACCATGTCTAAAATTTATGTACACAAAAATGATCACGTCATCATCCATATTTGCGTTGGCATGGGCCCGCACCTGCTCACCTCCCTGTCCATCACGTAGGTGGGGTACTAGTTCCCTTACCTATAAAATAGGGTCTACGATGAGTGATAACTCAATAAGTATAAACTTTGATAATCTTATTTAGGTGAGCATGTATTGTGTCATATATATAACCTTTCAAAATTAAATGCATAAAACATTTTATGGTAAACTCACCTTCTTATAGCCTCTTTAGCAGCGTATAACCTCGTAGCATGAAAGATGCGTAATAAAGAGGTAAAACATTGATTAAAATTAAGTCGTAATACATCTATGCAAGAGCAGGTCATAGTACATACAATATGAAATCATAATACATCCATGTTCGTCCACAACACATATCATCACATATATGTGCACTTCCATACTACACGTATGTACGAGTGCATAAAACATTTCATGATAAACTTATCTTATTATGGCCTCTTTAGCAACATCTAATCTCGTAATAGGACATCTGCATAGTAATGAGGTAAAATTTTAATTTAGAGTAACTCAGAACACACATGTGCAAAAGCATCCATGAACTTATACAGTATATTTTATAATATGTACGCACTCCCGCACTGCACATTGTATATATGAATGCATAAGATATTTCATAACAGATGCATCATAACATGACAAATGCATAACAAGGAGGTAAAATTCTGATTTCAAGTAAATCTCAACACACTTGTGCAAGTATAATTCATAGTGCATGCAATCAAAAACCATAATACATTTATGAATCTCATATGACATTCGATAACATATACGAGCACTCCTATATCGCATACCATAGTATATACAAACACATAAAACATTCATGATGGATGTATTATAGCATGACATATGCTTAATAGAGAGATAAAATTCTGATTTAAAGTGAATTAAAACACATATATATAAGGATAATTCATAGTACATGTAATAGGGAATCATAAAACATTCATAAACTTCTACATCACACTTTATAACATATACATGTACTCTCACACTGCACTGTCACGAACGGTCATCGCGCACTCGTAACATCTTTGTTCAACGAACTGTCCGTCGCTTTTGCATGCTTGTACATATGCATGACAGCATGTTTTGTCTTGTTTTGTGTGTTTTTGCTTGAAAAATGTAAGTAAGAATAGTTCGCAGCGTTGCAGTGTGCCATGCCAGGCAAAACTGCCCCAAAATGGCTTCGTTTTCACTTGCCATGGCCTGTTTTCTGCAGACCGTAATTGCGCGCGAAACGTTAGCCATCTTAGACCCTTGGAACCTCTCGGGTGGCACGGGGTGGATGAGGCTTTGGGGTAGTGTTGGGTGTTGATCGGTTTACACAAGTTTGCACGTTAACTTGACGGGAAATTGCCATCGCGCCCGACACCCGATGAGCAGTCGCCTGTAGACTTGCGACTGTTCGTTTTGCCTTCTAAAGTCATTGTTTTCTCATTCCTCTCTTTTCTCTCTTGTATTCAAAGTGTTTGCTAAATCGCTTGTAAGGCTACTCTCTTCGCAAGACGTCGGGACTTATTCGTCGCTCGTTTTCGAACTAATTAACTTTCTCTTTTTATAGGTCCTCCGGGACCCGAGCGAGGTTTTAAACTGGCTGACCTTTGCGGATGCATATCGCAAGTCCGTGATTGCACGTCATAACTTATATGTGCATTCCCACATTGCACGTTATAATATATCCATGTACTCCTATACCACATACCATAACATATGCATGCACTCCTACATCGCACATCATAACATGTGCGTGCACCCTACATTGTATATCACAACATGTCCATGCACTCTCATATCGCACATGATAACATATACATACATTCTTATCTCGCACGTCATAATATATACATGCATATCTTTTATCTTATGTAATGCATACATTAACATCATGTTTGTAGCTATCTCATCGTAACTATCTCATTCAAAGCTTGGTTTACCTAGGCGCTCGGGCGAGGCGAGGCGAGGCCCGAGCGCCTCGCTAATCTCCCAGGCGGCGCGCTTCAAATAGGCGCCGCCTGGGCGCTCGCCCGAGCCCAGGCGCTGGGCGCTTCGGGCGAGCGCCTGGGTAAACCAAGGCGACCGAACTAGGATTTTAGGTCTGGTTCGGTCCTGGTTCGGTTGGTTAGCTGGTTCAATCGAACCAACTAAATCGATATAACCCTTACCCAACCCTAACCTGCTGCCGCTGCCACACCCGATCCCGATCTCGTTGCTCGCCGTTGTCGCTGCTCGCAAACGCTGCCGTTGTCGCTGCTCGCCACTGTCT